TGTGTGTGTTTTATAGTGTCACTCGTATGACCTATCCTGCCTTAATCACACCATCACTGTGGTATCACCATAGCCGCACACTCTATATGTCTCAACAAAACGAAAGCCGTAAACTGGGTTGAGCCAATACGACCGTATTGAAATCGGTTCACTTAACCCTGTCGTACTCTTATATTAATACATATATAAATAGATACCTACCTTATCTATCATGCAGGATAAACCGTACGACGTAACATGCATCAACCCCACCATCACTTTGGGACCGGTTTTCACCAAGGTGCATACCAAGGCCAGTGTTTCAATTATACGTCAATTCATGAATGGGAAAACAGTCTTCAACGTTACCACAGGGTATGTGAGTGTATGCTGTAGTAGACATGCTTTAAAGCCAATTGATACGAACTACACAGTATAATGAATTTGAAGTATGTATTATCATCACGATGTTTTCATATATATGCGCGTGCCGGTGTAAATATATATGGTACTAGGAGACTCTATGTCTAGGCATTAGGTTTTCAGACCACACCTCTACAGCCGACTATACATTAAGCATCCCCTGCACTTCTCTATCTCTCTATAGACCTATCACACATTTTAATATTTGGCATTTCTGGGTGTGTCCACAGCTATGTAGATGTCGAGGATGTCGCAGACGGACACGTGCAAGCGCTGATGAGAGAGGAAGCAGGAGGACAGAGATACATTGTCAATGGTGTGCCTGATAGTCTGTACATGCCTCGCCTGGGCGAGATCGCCCAGAATCTGTATCCCAAGTACAAGATTGACGCCTCCCCTTTCCCACCCAACTGGGTCCTTGCGGCTGCTAAGGTGGGTAATGGAGGTCTAGTCCGCGTTGCTGCATGCGTCTGACTTCTGTTGTGCAATGCATGTGTGTGCTATTACATTGAATGGTGTGCCTATTAACCTGCACATGCCTTGATTGGTTTGAAATCGCCCAGAATCTGTATGCCAAGTGCGAGATTGACCGCACCCATTCCCCACCCAACCAGTGCTTGCGGCGGCTTAAGTACGTACTTATATCTCAGTGTTCTGTATGTACGTCTCTTATGCCCATGAGCTACCGCTCCTTGTAAGAGTCCATACTCTTCGTATGGCCACTGTTGAGGTTTTCTACCATACGGGATGAGTGTTGCACCTCCACGTACACATACACATCCTTTATCTATTCAATCATTCCATCCTATTTAAACAGATGGGCAATATGCTCCCTGCATTCCGACGCCTTGCCATCACGGACTACGAATTCAACTCTTTGACAAAGACCTTCATGTTCGACAACAGTAAAAGTATCAGTGAACTGGGCCTAAAGTACCATCGGCTGAACGAGACACTCCAGCGTAGTGTAGACTCCATGATTCAAGTGGGCATCAACCCGCGACTAGCCGATAACCCACACCCCAAGACATCGATCTAGGCGATCAGACGTATATATATATATATATATATATATAGAACACACACACACACACACAACAACACACACACACACACACACACACACACAC